CCCTCTTCTTGCCTTGCGCACCTGCCCCTGCCCTGCCGCGCGGGCTTTTGGTCTGCCCTGCCAGCGGCACCCGCCCCTGGATGCTGCCCTGCCCTGGCACCCGCTTGAGTGATTATTCTTTGCGGCACGTCTGCCCCAGCCTCTAATGCACGGCAAAAGGCGCGGGGGCATTGGCCCTTCCACCTGGGTGTCCCCCCCCCATGCTCCTCTGTCTGCCCTGCCTCGCTCTTCTTCAACACCCACTTTACTATTCTTTTTACATCCGCTTGACTTATTATTTTTGTCACATCTGGCCCTGCTGCAGGGCAAAAGGCTTGTCCCACCTGGGTCCCCCAACTGGATGCTCCTCCGTTTTCCCCCCACCCAGGCTGGGTGCTCCAGCTGGATGCCCCTCCATCTGCCCCCCTCTTGTCCCCTCCCTCCCTCGGCTCTACTTCCAGGGACTCCTAATGCAACAGCCCCAGGATCACAGCATCCCTGGGCACCAAAATGGAGAGAAGTCTTTTTCGACCCAAACAGGAAACCTTGTATCTTGCTTGAATCAGAGAAAGGACTCAGCCCCTAAGCTTTTTAAATGTTTTTTCTCCTGTCATCCAGTCTGGGGCTTGTCAAGTGAGAGGGGGGGGGGGGTTTTTTCTCTGTGCCCTGGGTGCTGTGAGTGCACATCTGGCAGGAAATGTATTTTAATACCAGGTTTCCCCCCCTTTTTTGCCCCCCCCCAGACTCCTCTCCTCAGAATAAAAGAGCCAACACAACAGAAGAAGAGGTCTCAGAAGACTCCCACAGTGCCAGCACAGTGGAGCAAACGCCCAAGAAATCCAGCCCAAGACGACATCAAACGTAAACTGTGTAGGTGGGTTCCCACTAGGATGTTGGTGTCCCAAAGAAATAGCGGATCCGAACAGGCAGGGAAGTGTGGAGTCACTCCTGCCCCAGCACTTACGAGAGAGAGAGAGAGAGAGAGAGAGAGAGAGAGAGAGAGAGAGAGAGAGAGATGCTCTTTGAAGGCATTTCCAAAGGGGGTTTGGATGAGGCTGGCCATATTAACTGTATTTTGTTTGTGCTCAACCTTGAGAGAATTTTTTTGAGGTGGGGAGGTGTCTAAGCAAGTCCTGGCTGTAGGCTGTTTATCCACAAGAACCTGGCTGGGGTGGCTTGGGTCACTTGGCTAGAAGGTGCTGAGGCCTCCTCTCCCAATAAGATGCTGGCAAAATGAGTTTCAAAACAGGCTCGCTCCAAAAAAAAAAAAAAGTCAAACGACAAGTATTTTTCCCCTTTTTGTTTGCTGCTTGGGTTTTTTTCTTTTTTTTTTTTAACTGGTTGACAATGTTAGCATTGTCTCTGGCGCAGCAAACAAGCCAGGGTGAGATCTCTTAAGTCAGTAAGGAGTGGAGAAAAAGTAAGGGGAGCACTTGGATTGAAATCCAGGGTGGGCAGAACATGTCTTCTACTTACTATCATCATCATCGTTATCATTATGTGTATTATTTATTGTGTATTATTTTTGGTTATTATTTTTATGCTGCTTTTATTATTGTTGTGATGATGATGATTTTAATACGATGGCACCCTTCTTACTATGGTCATCATCATCACTAGTGTTATTTGTGTGTGTATTATTTGATATTTATTATTTTTATACTTCTAATTTTGATGCTGATGATTTTGAATACGCTGGCACCGCAGTGAGTGTCCAGGGCACCGAGGGGGTTAATGAGTTTGTTTTTTTGAAGCAGCCAGGGGCTGGGTTGGGGACGGCTAGTGCCTCGGCTGGCGGTTTGAAGGGAATCGAGGTTTTTTGGTTTGTTTTTTTTAAGAAAAAGGGAGGTTTACAGACATGCTCGGTGCCGAGCAGATGAAGCTGGAAAGCAGAAGTGAGCACAAATGAGCCCCTCTGGGGTAAACGGGGCCAGGAACACGTCAGCATGATGTGTATGCAAATGGCACTACTACTGTCTGTTTATTTGGGTGAGGGAAAGGGAAGCGGAGCCGCGGCGGGCGGCCGCACCAAGGGGTTAAATGTGGAGGGAAGAGGGCTCCTGCTTTTCTTCTCGTCTGTGCGCTCCCGCGCGCTGCCTCGGGGCGGGGAGCTTCGGGAGTCGCCGGCACCCCGCGCATCGGCCGCGAAAACAGCTCCGGCTCCCCTTCCCCCTCCCGCAGCCGAGCGCCGCAGACCTGGTGACTCGGTGTCCGAGCCCTGTTTACAGGCGCGGAGGGAACCACTCCCATTTCCGTGGGCTGGGGGAGGCGGCCTCGGGTGTGTTGTTTTTCCACAGGGATCTGCCCCTCTGTTCCCCTGCCTGGCACCACACCCGTTTGCAAGCTCCCCAGCCCTTGGGGCCAAAACTGCGGCCCTCGATCTGGGGGCTTTCGGAGTAAAGCTGCCTCCCTCCCAGCCCCCTCCGCTAATACCTGCCCTTGTTTTTCCTTGCAGAGTTCATCTGCATTTCCTCCTTCATCGGGATGCCCCAGTGGTGGATGAAGCCAGGGAGATGTAAAGGTCTATTACAAATTAATAAAAAAAAATACATATCGTTGATTCTCCATGGGATGGAGATCTTGTACAAGCACTGAAGAAAAAACAAAACAAAAAAACACAAAACGACAAAAAAAAACAAACAATAACACTAAAATTTTAGGCACTCTTAAAAGATCTGCCTCTAAAAGCATTGGATGTAGCATTGTGCAATTAGGTGTTTCCTTATTTGCTTCTTTGTACTACCTGTGTATATAGTTTTTACCTTATGTAGCACATAAACCTTTTTGTGGGGGGAGGGAGGGGAGGGAGTGGAAAAAGGTGAGTGACTGAAACTTGCTTTCACAAGGTAGCAAGGGGAGAACTGTATAAAGAGAAGCAGTGTAGGCTTTTTTTATCACTTAAAGATGTATTGTCCATGTCCAACCCCTCCCCCCCTTTTTATTTTAATGCACCATAATGGTAACACTGGTTTCAGCAGGCCATTATAGCTTGCTTGTGAAGTTTTTACTTATTACATTAAGCTGAAAAAAGAGGTGGGAGCTCTGACGTTTCCGTTACGTAGCAACAAAAAGTTTATTATTTTATTAATATTATTCTTCCTGGAACTCCTTAAATCCCTTGAACCAGTAGAACTACTATAAAATTCTTTAAATTTGTCTCATCTGTAGCATTGTTTGAATGTTCCCAAATGAATCGGTAGAGTTCATACTTCAAAACCAGAATACTGTGTTTTTCTTTTTTTTTCCTGATCTTACCCAACTCCCTAATATTCCTGGTTGAAAAGGGATACTACATCTTTAAACAGTATTTCTACATTGCCTGTGTATCTGTATGTAAAAATAAAAAAAAAGTTTGAAGTGTACCTGTGTACATAACTCTGTAAAGACACTGAGAAATTATACTAACTTATTTATGTTAAAAGATTTTTTTAATCTAGAAAAGGATATTTTTCCCCATAAAGCCAAAGTGGCATGTTTTTGTGCATTTGTAAATGCTCTATTTGGTAGAATTTTTAGTTTTGGTTTATTTTTTCCTTTTTCTGTTAATTAATATGGCTGTGCTTAAACGATTGCAGACTGAGCCAACTTTAATATTTTTTTGTAATGCATAAGAAATAAAGTTGCATATGGATACTGTTTCACATCAAGCAATCAATAAAGAAAAGTGCCATATATAAGAGACATGCTCTCTGGTGTTTCAATTTCCCCTCTACCTGGCACAAGAAGAAATACATTTGGACAAATAATGCTGCAGGTTTCCTTCTGAAAATCTATTCCTGAGCCTCAATAAAACATCAGACTACAGACACTCTTCACCCCTAAAGTCACAACATGGGCAACAATAATTTTCTTATGATTGAGCAGCAAATGCCCTCAGCCTCTTCAATTAAAATGGGGGAATTTAACTTTTTAGCTACACCACTTGGTTTAAAAACGAGAGTGCTTGAAATAGTCCCCTTGTTAATATATCCTTGCTTGACTCTAATAAAAAAACCCAAGATTTAAAATATAAATCCAAATTCATGTTTCCTGAATCACATATACTCAAGGAATGGGCCAGGCTGGGCCTGATTTCACTCAATAAAGGTCACACCTAAATTGTTAGTCACTCAACAATCTGTACCATGGATGGTGTCTTTCATCTTCCTCCATCTCTTTTGGTTTAAAGGATTTTCACCAAATCCTGACCTGTCTTTCAAAACACCCTTTACCATAACATCCTAATAAGGTGTAGTGTGTGCCCATTTCTGAGAACATCCTTGTCCAAAAAGAATACAGCCCAAGGAGGGTATTATGTGCACACACACAACTATTACAATTAAATTGGCTGTATTAAGTAAGCAGTTGGGTTTGCTTTTATGATGTTTGGGTTTCTAAATTGTCTCCCTGTTTGTAGAGCAAACAGATCAGGGGTGTTCTCCCCTCTCAGAAAGCTAACCATTAGAAAGTAGGAATCAAGAATACATCTAATGGTCCAGATCCTATAAACTATGATTGTGCTCTATTATTATTACTTACCTAAGCAACCCCATTAAAAACCATGGGACTTCTTTTGTTAAACCCCATTAGGAGCAAATGAGGACCAAGCCAGAGTACTGAGAGTGCCCTACTTAGCATAGGACACGGTTTGGAGGGATTGCAAATCAGTGGACAAATCAGGCCCTAACCAGAGGTGGTTTTAGATTAGGGCTAATGCTTTTCACCTGATTTTAAATTAGACTCATTACAAGGTGCCCTGAAAAGCCAGTTTCCTGGGGAAAGCACAAAAACCCCTAGGAGTAGCTCTGCTGTTAGGTGAGCCTCTTGTTCACCTGCCCTTCACCTTTTTGACCCCCAAACTTGTAGAGGCTGTATCATCGCGTGACAAGGAAGGCAGCTCCTATGCACATGATTTGCAGTAGGGGAGAGGAAGGTGAAATCAAGGCTTGGGTGGCCCTATCTCAGGGCACATCCGAAAAGCTAGCTATTGACAGCGGTGCTGGGGCCCACGTGCGAACTGGTTTTTGCTCATTTCAAACCTTGACGGGGATCCCTTTCCTCCCCCAGGAGCGAGGCTGTACCTCAATTTCCCCCACCCAGGGACAGGCTGGTCAAGCTGTGGGGGGCTTTCTCACTGAGGCTGTGTGCGTGACACTCCTGCCCACTTTGGCCTCGTAGGAATGGATCGTGTGGCCCGCCCCGGTCCCAAAACCAGATCACACGGCGGCTGGTAGCCCTTACGAAAACAATCAAGGCGGGGCGAGGCGAGGCTCTCTGTGCCAGCACCCAAGTTTATGCTGGGCACAGCCTCCCCACCCCTTGTAGCCAAGCCCCATTCAGCGAGGGGTCCCCGTGTTTATCCCCCGGAGCTGGGTCCCCCCCCCGCAGCCTCAGCTCGTGCTTCCCCCGCAGGGCGGGGGGATCGGCCGCTTCCCCCGCGGGAGCAAGCGCAGCGTCCAAGCCCGGATTTATGAATCGCTCGTGCACTAGCAGCTATTTACTAGCAGCCACCCATGGACTGGCCCCGGGTCTGGAGAAAGGGAGTGGCCAGCGCGGGGCTGTTTTTCTTCTTTTTTTTTTTAAGTCCTTTTCGATGGCAAGTGGCCAAAAACCCTCCCCACCCCCTACTTTGTACCCCGGGATCGGGCTGGGATCCGGGCCCCGCAACCCCGGGCAAGCAGCCCCGCCAAGGGTTGGTCGCGGCCACTTGGGCCACGCCAGGTGCGTGTGTGTGTGTGTGTCTGTATGGGGGGTGGGGGAGTGAGCTGTGTGTAGGGCAGGAATGTGCGTGTGTGGTGTGCGTGTAGGGGGGCGGGAATCGGCGATCGGAGCATGGTGACTAGAAGCCCCGAAGCAGCAGCACCCAGACAAATGCAGCTCCCTGCAGCCAAAAAAAAAAAAAAGGAAAGAAAAAAGATTTCTTTTCTTTCCCTCTGCACAACCTTCCTGCGTAGGGCGAGGGGAAGTGCCCCGCTTCCCGTGCACCGGCGGGGGGATCGCGGCGCAGAGGCGAGGATTGCATCACTGGAACATGCCCCGATCCCTCTCCCCCCCGACAGAAAAGTGTTGCAACAATCATGGCGTTGCGCTTGGAGCCGCTCCCATCCCGGCGTCGCGCTCCGCAGCGCCGAGCCCCGCTACCGGGGCAGCGCCGGCGGGGGCGAGGTTTGCAAAGCCCAGCGGTGCCCTAGGAGCTGGGCTGGGGGGAGCAGCAAGGACCGGAGTGTGTGCGGGGGGCCCGCTCTGCTCCCCCCTCCCAGCCCTGCTGGGGCTTGTTGTGTGCTGCGCGCCGCCCCGCCCCGAGGAGCCTGTGCTGCAGCGAGCGGGCCCGAGCCCCACTGCCGGGGGGAAGCTTAAGGTGGATCTGCGCAGCATAGGCTCCCCGAGCCCTGGGGATATTTGCATGTCCCCGCCCCGCCTCCCTCATTGGCCAGAGCTGCAGTTTGAATTTGTTGTCTCTCTTCTCCGCTGCTTTCTTCCCCGCTCCGCTCTTCTCTCTGCGGCTGCTGGAGGCGACCGTGTGTGGCTGCTCCTCTGCTGATGAGACGAGGGCTCCCCGCAGGCGGCTGGGGGCGGGGGGAGAAGCAGCTCTGCGCTCCCCCCACCTGGGGGGTGCAGGGGGGGTTGGGTGATGTGAGGCTCAGGGAAAGCTTCTAAATCCACTAGCTCCCCCGTTCCTTGCTGTCTGGGACCAGGGTGCTAAGAGAGTGGGGGGAGGAGAGACGAGGCTTTCTTAGGTGCTGTAGGGGTGGGTTGTGGTTCACTGGGGCCCTGGACCCAGGGCCTCTGCCCCAAGGCCATGGGTTCCATCCCCAGCCAGAGTAGCAGGATAAGTGGCGGAAGTAGGATGCGCTGCCCATCCCACTCCCAGGGCTGGCGGTGGGGAGCTACTGCCTGCCAGGTGTGTGGGGGAAACACCATGTATCTGGGTCCATGAAGGCAGTTTTCCTTAAGCATGCACAGGGATAACTGCTCTTCTGGCATAGTTAGTTCCTGCCAAGGTTCTGGGGCTTAATGCCCACTTTATGGAAATGGAAGGCTCCTCCCTAGCTTGCTCCTGTGGCCATATGGCTGAGGGCAAGCAAAACTTGGAGGCATCTGAACCCCAAGCCTCTGGGCTTGGCCCTGCCTGTAGGATGCCTGCTAAAGACCTTGGAAACATCTGAAGCCCCAGGTTGGGGAGGAAGATGTTTGCCGGTTTAGGGTCACTTATGGTTCTGGACTGACTCATGGATTTGGCCTGTGCATTAATCTGCCTATGGCATGCTGGGCTTTATTGGACCAAGTTAGACAAGGTTTCCTATGCAAGACTCTTCATCGGGTCAGGGCAGCACTGTCTCACTGGCTAGCCCAGATCCATCCCTCTGTTCCAATAGGACAGGTGTTTTTGGGTAGCTGGATGTGTGAGAGTTTTCTTTCCTCCTTTCTGGGGTGGGCACTTCTCCACTCATGTATCCAGACAGAGTTTCACTGGTTGGTGTCCACAGGCTACCTCTACTCTTTTAGGGGACAGTGGGTGCTAGCCAGTGTGCTTTATTTGGTGTCCCCCTCCTGATGCCCTGGTTATTAACCCCCACTCCCATCCCTGTTTTCTTTTTTGTTGTCCCAAGCAATTAATTGGTATGTCTCCAGTGTCCTCCCTCCTTAAATGGGGCTTATAGACTTTCCATGACGGGCTGAGGTCCATGACATCTGGGCATATCAGATAGGCCTTTCTGAAGTGGGGAGGGAGACTTTGGGTCACTAAGCAAAATAAGAGGGGGTGAGGGAGCGTTTTCTCCCTTCATTTGAATCGTTCTAAACTAGGGTGCTGTGACACCCTGAGGTGCCTCTCCAGCATGCCATAGGAGGCCATGCGGTATTAGCACCGTTAGACGTGGAAGTGTGATAAACCCAGAGGTTTCAAACAGGAGTTCATAGTGTTAAAAACATTCTGACCTGTTGTGGTCTTTCCAAATGGAAGAATTGTTCTGTTGTTTTTATGTAGTCAAAAAAATGAGTGAATGCAAAACTGGCATTTTCTGAGGGATGCCTTGTTGAGAACTGCTGATCTAGGCTGAGGGAGTCTCCAGTGCAGTGTGTCTTTTCTGAGACCACCAGCTTTTGGATTAGCTTTTTCTGCCTAGCAGCCAAAGCCTCTTTGTTGGTGTTGCTTTTCAGCTCTTTAAAAAACTTTTAGCTAACGGTTATTGCAGGGGGGAAAAATCTATGGTCTAGTGGTTGAACTGCAGGAATGAAAGATGGCAAATCTGGTTTCTCTGTTCTACAGTTGCTTTGTGGCCTTTGGTAAGTCACTTAGTTGCTCAGTGTCAGGAAAATGGCCGAAGCTTCCCTCTGGAAGGTGCTGTGGAGTTTAACACATTGAATGTTAATCGAAGTCTTTTGGGTACTTGGATAGAGGTTGCAAAGTATTATTTTTATGTGCGTTTTGCACGCTAGTAGAGCAAATCCACAAAAGTTCCTTTTGTAGATCCTTATTTGCATCATTTCTAATTTTAAAGTTCCCCATTTATTTCCTTTGTACTTTTCGTTTCAAGAGGTTGTTTTCCCCTCTCTGTATGAAAGCTTCTATACCCAGTTCTGCAATGCATTTGAACTCTGCTGTGCCTGTTGTATTCGATGTTTTGCTGTATTCTGTGAGATGCTAAAATAAAAAAACCCCGAAGCGTTATGTTATAGTTTTGTTTGAAAATTCTGCAG